CACACCCACACACACGCCCATCCACCCACACACCCACACCCACACACACACTTACACACAAACACACAGACCCACATGCACGTACCTCCAAAGGCGCAGGATGTGGGGCGGACAACAGGAAGGACCACCCTCGAAACCTCTTTCCCTGTCTCTGGGTCTACCTGTCTCACACTGCCGCTCTCCCCCACCACCACCCACAGCCACACACACTCCCACCCACACACAAGCACACACCCACCCACAGAACCCACACCCACATACCTCCAAAAGCGCAGGACGTGGGGCGGACAACAGGAAGGGCCACCCGGGAGACCTCCTTGCCTGTCTCTGGGTCCACCTGTCGGACACTGCCACTCTCCCCCACCACCACCCACAGCTGCCCCCCTGCGTCTATTGCCATGCCGTCAGGCACTCCTGTACGGAAGGGAGGAGTAAGGGAAGAGGAAGGAGAGGAGGGGAGGAGGTGAGGAGGGGAGGAGGGGAGGGGGGGAGGAGGGGAGAGGGGAAGGAGGGGGAGGAGGGAGGACGGGAGGGGGAGGAGGGGAGGGGGAAGTGGGAGGGGAGGAGGGGAGGGGGGAGTGGGAGGGGGAGGAGGGGAAGGGGGAGTGGGAGGGGAGGGGGGAGTGGGAGGGGAGGAGGGGAGGGGGGAGTGGGAGGGGGAGTGGGAGGGAAGGGTGGGGGGTCATCGTATGGGGGTTTTCTAAAACAGCGGATCCACCTGTCGCATCGCTCTACCTCCCCCCCCCCTCCCCCCCCCCTCCATCCTGCATCAAATGAAAGTGCTTCTGAAACACCTTCTCCTCACTAAAAAAAACAAAACAAAACAAAACAAATTGCTTATGTGTCGACTCAAACACCTCCCCTTGCCCACACTCCTCCCCTCACGCCCCCTTTCCCCTTCCCTTGCCCCAACTACTCTCTCACCGCACACACTTCTGCCCTTGCCCCACCCCACCCCACCGCATTCCACCGACCTGGTTCGTCCTGGCTGAATGTGACTGCTGTGCGACGGTTGCTGATGCCTGCTGTGGCTGCGTCAAAGTCAAAACAGTCCACTGTCTGGAGGGGGGGAGAAAGGGTGGTGGGGGCATGGGTGGGGGAGCGCATGGGCGGTTTAGGGTACAAGGGCAACACGGGAGGTATGGGGGCACATGAGTTGCTGATGGCTGCAGTGGCTGCGGCAAAGTCAAAACAGTCCACTGTCTGGTAGAGGGAACATAGGTGGTTGAAGTTACACGGGTTAGATGGGATGGGATGGGAGGTATAAGGTGATTCGAACTGCTGATGGCTGCTGTGGCTGCGTCAAAGTCAAAACAGTCCACTGTCTGGAGCGGGGGCGCAAGGGTGGTGGGGTGGGGGCATGGGTTACATGGGAGATATGAAGGGAGAGGGGATACGAGTTCCTGATCCCTGCTGTGGCTGTGTCAAAGTCGAAACAGTCCACTGTCTGGAGGGGGGCGCACGGGTGGTGGGGGTGGGGGCAAGGGTTACATGGGAGATATGGGGGTCGGCGCGATACGAACTGCTGATGCCTGCTGTGGCTGCATCAAAGTCAAACCAACCAACTACTATCTGGTAGATGGGGCATGGTTGGGTGGAGGGGACGTGGTTGGTTGGTTTTGTAAGGTAAAAGGGTCACATGGGAGATGAGGGGGAGAGGGTGTTGCTGTATGGCACGCAAGCACGGCACAACCCACCCGGAGAGCAGAGTCAATGAAGAAGAGGCGTGTGCCATCCGCGGATCACGCCGGCAGCACCAGCAGCACCCAGGCCACCCCACACCCCAGCCACGCTCCACACAGGACAGCTCAGCTCACCCGGAGAGCAGAGTCAATGAAGAAGAGGCGCGTGCCGTCCGCAGACCATGCGAGCCCATTGGACAGCTGCGTGGCCTCTACCTTCACCTCCACCGCCCACCTCATGCCCCCTCATGCTCGTGCCCTAGACAAGACAGCACAGTGCATGTGCAACTTACCCGGAGAGCCGAGTCAATGAAGAAGAGGCGCGTGCCATCCGCAGACCACGCCAGCCCGTTGGACAGCTGTGTGCCCCCCACCTTCACCTCCACTGCAGGCGCAGCAGCAGGAGCAGCAGCGGTGGCAGTGGCGGTAGTAGCAGCAGCAGGGGAGATGCAGAAGAGGTGGCCTTTGGGAGCAGCAGGGTCGCGCCATGAGGCATGCATGGTGCCCGCCCAGAAGCGACCAGCCGGGTCACACTTGCCGTCGTTGAAACTGAAAATCAAGGGAGAGAGGTGTGGAACGGAGGGGGAGGGAGGGGAGGGGTGGGCGGGGTTGTGTGGATATCGGGCGCTAATGTAACGCCGTGCCATGAGGCGTGCATGGTGCCTGCACAGATGCGCGCAGCGGGGTCGCAGTTGCCACCGTTGAAGCTGAAAATCAAGGGAAAGAGGTGGAGAGGAGGGGGAGGCGAGGGATGAAGTGAGGGTGTAGCAAGCTAGGGGAGTTGGTGGGAGGTGGTGGAAACAGAGATACTGGAATGGTTGTGACTTGTTAGAAGCACGAAAAAAAAAAAGAGGTAAAAACAAAAACAAAAAACAACAAACAAAAAAACAAAATTAAAAAAGCAAACAAACAAACAAAGTGAAGTGCACGAGCGAGCATTGGAGGCAACTCCAAGGCTGATTCGCTAACAAACCGAAGTTTACGGTCTGTGTGTACTACAGCGAAGGCAGATGCAGGAACGTGCCTGTTGAATACTCAGACAAGTGATTAATTTAATACTCACCCCACACGACGTGATTTTCGAGTTCACTCAAAGGAAGTGCCTTTTGGGTCGACCCAAAAGCTGACTGACCGTATTTTAGGGCCTGTGTACTGGGAAGGCAGTTGCAGGAGTGTGTCTGTCACCCGCCCCTCACTCGTGTCCACTGCTACTATGCAGTCCTGCATGCACATGAGTGGACCGACATGCATGCACATGCATTCACACATGCATGCACATGCATTCACACATGCATGCACATGCATTCACACACGCATGCACATGCATGCACACGCATTCACACACGCACACATGCACGCGCGGAGAACCACCAAGACATTCCAGAGGGTAATGAAAGGAGGAAGTTGTTTCAAAGGGCCAAAAAATGCTGTCAATGAAACAATCTACTCGTCACCCATTCCGCGACTCTCCCCCGTCCTATACGCTCTTTCCCTTTTCTCCCCTCTTTCCATATTCATCCCATCCATCCCCGTCATTCAAGTCAGTCAAGTCATCCAAGTCAGTCCAGTCATCCAAGTCGGCCTTGTCAACCAAGTCAGAAAGTTCAACATCGTCTACTCACCTCCATCGCCGCGATAAGGCCTCCCGAAGCGCGCGGTACGACGCATCCCACGAGCTGCGGCGTCGCGATGGCCTCTTCGCGAATCGCACGGTTCGCCACGCTGTCGTAGCCCAGGATCTTGCGACCGTTGATGTCGACGAACCAGACGTCGCCACGTGCGTTACATACGGGCGACTCGCCTAGGACTGCGCGGCAATCGAGAGCGAGCGACACAGACGCCATTGTTGTCAGAAATTTACTGAGGTGATGATGCGGAGAAAGACGAGGGTGGTGAAATTCACGAACACAGTGCAAAATCAATCAGCTAATCACCTTTACTGCAACCCCGCTAGTCACGAAAAGACGCAGTACATGAAATACGAGGGATGAACATAGGTGGAATTCTGTCTGATAAGATGACATATAGTCTCATGTAAAAAATAGTGATATTAAATGTATCTGAATTCCGTAGTGATATACATATATATATGATTTTCCGCATGTGCATCTATTTTCGTAGTGAATCTGTAGAAAAACATTCATCAACCCACTCCTAAACACAATATTGGGTTGATGAATGTTTTTGTAGTGAATCTATTCCCTTCTTGTACTTCCAATATTTGTACAGATTCCTCAATATTGGTTGTAACTCATACAGGTGAACGTGCACTCCTGGATTGATTTGCCTCCAATGTGTAACAATGTTTGCCTGCAATTTCAAAATTTCGCACGTCCAGTCAACCTCCGCCTCACCCTAGTTCGCCGCGAATCGCGCCCTCCACGAGCATTTTCAGTTCAATCCGCGACTCGAGGACACCCACCACGATCGAGCAATCAGCTTGGAGAGGGGGACGGTCAACCGCGCCTCGTCGCAGGCGGAGCGGAGCGCAATGGTCGTGCCCCGTATTGTACCTGTACTGTATCTGTGTGTTCTCTTCTCTCCGCCTCCTCTCCCCTTCACTCGAGTCGAGTCGAGTCGATCCAGTCTAGCTCTCGCAGCTCTCTCGACTCGACTCCCTCGTCTCTTTCACTGACTCTGATATTCGCGAAGTGTGTGGTGGTGCGCATATGACGGAAGTCTTGTCTTGTCCTGAAGTTCAAAATCAGACGAGGACAGGGCAGGGCAGGACAACGCTATTCGCCACACGCCTACCCCCACTCCAGCGTAGCTTTCGTTTCGACTAGAGTCGAGTCGCCCCCCCGAGTAGGTTTCACTTGTGCCAGTTTGTCCAGTTCTTGGCGGCGCTGGGAGGAATCCAAGTGATCCAATCCGGTCCAATCCTCCATGTTCCTACCGACCAATTCCAGGTTCCACCTCGCGCCACATGCGCTTCTACTCCTCGCTGTGTGAAAGCGGGAGCTGACACAGCTGGATTCAGTTGCGACAAGCGCCTAAGCTCTCTCGTCTTAGGTACGAACATCCCAGCCAGTACTACTCGGCGATCTGGGAGTCTGCGTGCGAGTCTGCGAGTCTGCGACCGTCTGCCAGCCTCTACCAGTCAGCTGTAACTCGCATAGGCACTCTAGTTTTCGATGCCACTCGCCTTCCGATTCTAAGCTTCGGAGCGCCTTCCACGTGTATTTTGAACCGATTTTAAAAAGTCACCTGCACTCAAAAGTCTCAGATCACCCTCCTCAGCGCACCCGCTAGTTTCTCTCTCATTGGTCCCAAAAGAGTTCCCAAATTCTCGTTCTTTTATATATATTCTTACTACCAATGACGCGTCCTCCGTCGCTCATCTCGTCGCCATGGGCAATAGCGCTGCTGGCGGCAGTCGTGGCGGTTTCACTAACTGCCAATGTCTCGTTAGGAGCTTCTTCCTCAGCGCGGCCTGCCATAAGCAGGTCTCAACGGGGAAAGTCTTCCCCGACCCCCCCCTCCGCCTCCGCCTCCGCCTCCCGTTCCGCTTCCCGCTCGTCTAGCTCCGCCTCTCCGTCCGCATCCCACTCGTCCCGCTCCTCGTCCCCCGCGCGAAGCAGTCCGCGCAATCGAACCTCCGCTCCCTCCTTGCCTTCCCCCTCCCCTTCCCGCTCTTCCCGCTCATCCCGCTCATCCCGCACTTCCCACTCCTCGACCTCCGCGCGAAGCAATCGGCGCAACAGCACCTCCGCGCCCTCTGTGCCCTCCAAACCTTCACCTTCCCCTTCGCGCTCATCCCGCACTTCCCACTCCTCGACCTCAGCTCGCAGCAGTCGGCGCAACAGCACCTCCGCGCCTTCCGTGCCCTCCTCGCCTTCTCCTTCCCCTTCGCGCTCATCCCATTCTCCGAGCTCCGCGCGAAATAGTCGGCGCAACAGCACCTCCGCACCCTCCGTGCCCTCCTCGCCTTCCCCCTCCCCCTTCCCGCCCCGCTCATCCCGCTCCTCGTCCTCCGCGCGCAGCAGTCGGCGCAACAGGACCTCCGTGCCTTCTGCGCCCTCCTCGCCTTCACCCTCCCTCTCCCCTCCCCCGTCATCCGGCTCCGGGGGCTCCGCGCGAAGCAGTCGACGACACCGGACCTCCGCTCCCCCTTCGCCTTCCGCCGCCCCCTCCTCCCCCTCTCCCTCCCCTCCCCCTTCCCCTACCCCCTCCCCCTCCGCTCCGCGAAGGAGTCCGCGCAAGAGAACCTCCGCGCCCTCCGCACCTCCCCCGTCCCCCTCGTCTCAAACCCCCGAGCCAGAGAAACACAGGACAGAGCAGTCAGTGGGGGGCGTTGGCGGCGCGTCCCCGCTAACGACGCTGACGCTACTGCCGGACAATCCGTACAAGGCCAAATGCCTCGACGGCAGGTGAGGAGGCAACGACGGCATTTACGTAGTTGTAAGCACGACACGCACAGCAGGCACTCTTGAGATTGACTGCAGGTTCTCAGAAAGGATTGACAATCCATGCAAGGCCAAGTGCCTCGACGGCAGGTGATCTGGCAGGGAATAAGAAAAGATTGACAATCCATTCCCAAACGGGCCACTGCGCGCGCCTCGAATGGTCCTGCTTAAACCTCCTCCCCCCACTGCACCTCTTTTTCTTCCTTCCCCCGCATTTCTCCCCCCTTTCCCCCTTTCCCCATTCCCCCTTCCCCCTTCCCCCCAGTCCCCCGGGGTATTACTTCCGCCAAGGCGTGGGCACCGGCGCGAACAACTGGTTGATCGATCTCCCCGTGGGCGGGTGGTGCACCACCGTGCAGGAATGCGCGGACCGCGCGCGGACCGAGTTCGGCTCCACGCGCCGCTGGCCCAGAGTGCTCGGCGGAGGAAGCGGGCCGGAAGGCTCGGGGACCGCCGGCGCTTCCGCCGTGGCGGACGCCGTGTACCAGTATTCGGTGGTGAGTGTGGCGCTACGGGGTGCAAGGGCCGTGTAAAGGCGCAAGGGCCGCAAGAGCCGCTTCCGCCGTGGCGGATGCCGTGTATCAGTATTCGGTGGTGAGTGTGTGGGGGGGGAGCAGGTGCGGGGGTTAAAAAAAAAGGCGCGGGGGGAGGGGAACAGGTGGAGGGGTAAAAAGAAGGCGCAAGGGCCGCTTCCGCCGTGGCGGACGCCGCCGTGTACCAGTGTTCGGTGGTGAGTGTGGCTCTACGGGGGGTGCGTATTACGGCGCGGGTGGGGGGGACCCGGGGGGGAAGGAGACGGGAAATGTGGGGGAATGGGGAGTTGGGGTAAGGAGGTGGGGGGGGTTAAAATAAGGCGCAAGGGCCTCCACGGCTTCTGTACAGCGAACTCTGCGCTGTCCTCTCCCCATACATTCCCCCCCCCCCACCTAGTGCGGGAGGCGGGGGGAGTACACCGCGTCCTCCCGCGCGCCATACAGAGCGCCGATCCGCGTGTGAACCCGACGTTCCCGTTCATTCATCCACTCCCCCTTCCATCCCCCCCTTCCCTTCCCCCTCCCCCCCACTTTTTCCCCTTTCTCGCGCAGACGGCGGCGGGCGTAAGGGGGTCGTCGCGCGGCATCCTGAGCACCGATCCGCGCGTGAACCCCACGTTTGACATACTCATCCATTCCCCCTTTTCCATCCCCCTCCGTTTCCTCCTCGCGCAGACCGCTGCGGGCGTAAGGGGGTCGTCGCGCAGCATCCTGAGCACCGACCTGCGCGTGAACCCCACGTTCCCATATACTCATCCACTCCCCCTTTCTCCCTTTTCCCCTCCGTTTCCTCGTTCTCGCGCAGACGGCGGCGGGCGCAAGGTCGTCGTCGCGCGGCATTCTGAGCACCGATCCGCGCGTGAACCCCACGTTCCACAACTGGAACCTCGTGCGCTTCGTGTACTGCGACGGCGGCGGGTACGCCGGTCGAGTGCGGTGGAAGCCTGTGAACTCGAGCCTCATCGTGTACCTGGACGGCTGGAGAATATCCAAGGCTATCTTCATGGGTGAGTCTTGGTGGGTGAGCTCATGGTTGAGTTGTGTTGCATGACTCTTGAATATAGGTAATTAAACAAGCTCAACTCTATATTGTTCTCAACGGTCCAGTCTGGTGATTCCATACATCCAATTCCCTTTCCCCCTCCGCCTCACGGTCGCTCTGCTGTTTGCGCAACACCCATCACCAACCCACACCCCCTTCCGTCCCCCTCTCTCCCTCACCCGACCCCCCGTTCCCCTCACCCGCGCGTCCCCCGCTCCGCGGCAGATCTCCGCACGCGGCGCGGGCTGACGTCAGCGACCAACATCATCATGTCGGGGAGCTCCGCGGGCGGGCAGGCGGTGGTGACGCTGTGCGACCAGCTGGCGGAGATGGCGCCTGCCGCGCGCACCAAGTGCCTCATGGACTCGGGCTTCTTCATCGGTCAGTGCGCGCGCTCGCTCTCGCGCTTGATGTTGCGCTGGTTCTCCATGTTCGCGTGTCTGCTGCTGCTAAATCAGACGTCGCAAAGCATGTGAATGAGCCAGCGCAGGCGGTGGTGACGCTGTGCGACCAGCTGGCGGAGCGCACCGAGTGCCTCATGGACTCGGGCTTCTTTATCGGTCAGTGCGCGCGCTCGCGCTCGCGCCTCGGCGCCTCCGCGCCTCCTCTTGCGCTTGATGTTGCTTCTTGCGCCCGCTCTGACTCCCCAAGTGCCTCATGGACTCTGGCCTTTTCATCGGTCAGTGCGCGCGCTCGCGCTCGCGCTTGATGTTGCGCTGACTCCCCATGTGCGCTTGCGCTCACTTGCGCCTGCGCTTGATCTTGCGCGCGCCCGCGCTTACGCTAGCGATTGCGCTTGATGCTGCGCTGACTCCGCCTGTGCTTGCGCTCGCGCTGACTCTCCCCTTATCCGCGTGTGTCTGCTGCTGCTGCTTTGAGACGTCTCAAACACCGCGTTACTGATGTGCTTCTGCCCGCTGCCCGCTGCCCGCTGCCCGCACCAAGTGCCTCGTTGACTCAGGCTGACCTGACATGACTCCCGTTGACTTGACTCACCATATTAGCTGGCTCACCCACCGAGTGTCTGCTGCTGGCCTATCCCTCCCTCTGCTGCCGCTGGCTCTGCTGCCACTCTGCTGCTTGGGAACGTCCCGTAACGATCCGTAACGCTTGGAAAGCTTCATATCCGTGTGTCTCGGGCTCCTGGTGGTATTAGGTGGTGTCCCTGCTGCTTTCCCCTTGATTGCCCCCATTGTTCCTCTATCCCGATTGGTTTCTCATTCTCCTTGTTTTTGTTGACGGAACTGAAAAGAGTGTATCTTGCCCCTCAATTCTCAATTACTCCCAACTCCCCCTCGCCTTCCCAACCGCGCTCTCCGTCCTCCCCCCCTTCCTCCCGCAGACTCCCCCGACCGCGCGGGGGTGTATTCTTTCCGCGCCATGGCGCAGCGCCTGGTGGGGTTGCACCAGTCGCTGGGGAATCCGCGCTGCCAGCGGGGTGAGTGGGGCGGTGAAGGGGGAAGAGGGCAGGGTTGCACTTGGGAGAACATGGGAAGAGTTCGGGATGCTGCAGGGGGGTGTTTTCTTTCCGCGCCATGGCGCAGCGCCTGGTGGGGCTGCACCAGTCGCTGGGGAATCCGCGCTGCCAGCGGGGTGAGTGGGGTGTGGGGGATCCCGGGGGAAAGCGGGGGGGGGGGGGGGGTTTGGGGGAAGGATCTTGGGGGGACATTAGGGCGTGTCTCCTTTTTGCCCTCGACGGTTCGAACCGTGGACCGTCCGGTTGGCGAAGAGGTTACCTGTATCGCAAAACGTCGTAACCTGTTTCGCGGAAGTATATGCGACATCGCCAACGGTTCGAACTGTCGCATCACTTTTCCCTCCAAGCAACGGTTCACATTGTGAACATTCGGCAGTTCGAAATGCAAACGGACGGAAGAACAAAGCTGACACGGGATTGGCGCGCGAAGTATCAGAAAAAACATCGAGTCGCACCAACAATTTACTAGAGTACGCGACGCCTGTTTCAACAGGGTTACGACGGTACAGTACCTCTCGCGAGTCTACAGTAAATCGGCAGTTTGCGAAGTTGAGAAAAGTGACGTCTTTGCATTCGGACGTTCTGAAGTTTCGAAATTTCAAAACGGACTGTCCAGTACCTGCTATTGGGACCGTCCGATTCGATACAAGTGGACAGTCCGAAAAAACATGAAAAATCAAAAAAGAGACACGCCCTTAGGAGGGGGAAAGATTAGGGGTGAATCTTGGGCGTGGTGAAAGGCAAGGACGGGGGAAAGGAAAGGATGATCGGATGGGGGACAGACTGGGGGAAGTTGGGGAGAATTCCTGGGCTTGATTCCTGCTAGCTTGGTTTCCTACTTTCGTGTTGGGCTACATTCACTGCTACCCTTCCCTTCTCTTCAGCGTCTCTCGTTGCTCGCTTTCAGCACGCCCTCCGACACCTCAATTTTCATGTTCATAAGTGCTCGATTTAGTGCTCCTAAAGTAGCCTTGTGTTTCACTTTCTCCCACTCCCTCTTATTCGCACTCCAGCCTTCCCAGGGATGGAGAGCTGGCGCTGCTTCTTCCCCCAGTATGCTCTCTCCTTCGTCAAATCGCCAATCTTCGTCCTCCAATCGCTCTTCGACGTGCGAGCCCTCGCTCTCGGTAACCAGCTCCCGCCAAACATCGGCCAGGCTACTGCTTGCGTAGATGACATACTCAAAGCCGCTCCGCGGGCGGGGACAGCGATAAAGTCACCCACTTTCCGGAGATTGCGAGTGGGGGTCAGCCAAAAATGCCCGTCGGAAAGTGTCGCGGTTTTGAACGCGGCTTCGGACGTCTACACCGCAGTACATAACTTGATGCTGAAAAAGACAGACCTTACAGCATTTTTACCTGGCAACACGCAGCACACCTACACTTTCAACCCGTCGTGGGAGTTTGTCGTGATAAACGGCACGACAGTGAAATCGGCGGTGGATGCGTGGGTGGAAGGCTCGTTGAGGTACTCTAGGCTCCTAGCTCCGTGACATTTGGAATTACTAGTAGCCAAACTTAATCATCTATTGTAGGTTGCTCGCAACTAGTCTTTGGGTTGGGAATAATGTGGCCTTGAGCTTGACTTATTGTACCCTTCCTGGTGGGTAGTCCGCTCACCTTGGTAGTTAAATGTGTTGGTTCTGTTCTGACTACCGGTTACCGTAAGGTGAGATTGCTGAGATAATTCATGAGAACACAGGGCAAGTTTTTCACAATTGAGCTGCTGTATCTACAACAACTGGCAAAGCAAATCCTGTACACGAACCCGTCCAACCATCATTGCTGTCTCCTGCCTGCCTGCCCTGGAAAACGCCTTGCAATTCCAATCCAGCTGATGAGTGGTACATACATGCAGGTCCCAGCTGCAACCAATATTATACTTTCCACCTTTTCCTGTTTGTAGAACTGATACAATACCGGTATCATCCAATTCAAGCATCTCATCCCAACCTAACTCTTCCCCCCCACCAGACCTCTCACCCCTCACATCCGCCTACTCCCCCTCAGTCCTCCCATCTCATCAACCTCCCCTTCCTCCTCCTCTTCCACCCTCGCCTTCTTCCCCTCGCTCCCCTGCGCCGGCTCCACCAGAAACTCTCCCAGCCGTCCCTTGGCCTTCTCAGCAGCCACCCCACCTGTCTTCTCCACCCTGAACAGCAACCCACTAGCCTCCACCGCCACTCCCTTCCCTCCTCCCACCTGCCCGTGACCCTGCTGCTGCTTCGCACCGTCGATAAACACCGTGCAGTTATCATCTATCTTCCCTTCCACCAGCATCTTAGACAGCTGAGTAACCACCTTCCGCTCCAGCCACCGCCTCAGCGGCCGCGCCCCATACAGTGGGTCATACGCCTCTGATAACACCACGTCCAGCGCAGAATCAGACACCGCCAGCGCGATCCCCCGGTCCGCCAGCCTGGCAGCCACCTGCTTCATCTGCAGCCGAGCCACTTTTCGAAGCTCTGGGAGAGAGAGAGGCTCAAACACCACGATCTCATCCAATCGGTTGAGTAACTCCGGCCGGAAATGCCTCTTCACTTCGCCCATCACCAGCTGCTTCGCCTCTCCCATCGACACGTCCCCCGCCATCCCCGCTATAAGATGCTGCGCTCCCAGATTCGACGTCATGATGATCACCGTGTTGCTGAAGTCTACAGTGCGCCCACGCCCGTCGGTCAACCTGCCGTCGTCCAGCACTTGTAACAGAGTATTCCATACCGAAGCATGAGCCTTCTCCACCTCATCAAATAACACCACGCTGTACGGCCGCCTTCGCACCGCCTCTGTAAGCTGCCCTCCCTCCTCATGCCCCACATACCCCGGCGGAGCACCGATCAACCGCGCCACACTATGCTGCTCCATGTACTCGCTCATATCGATCCTCACTAGCTGCTTCTTGTCGTCGAATAGCTGCTCTGCTAGCGCTTTCGCGAGCTCCGTTTTCCCCACGCCTGTCGGGCCTAAGAAGAGGAACGATCCTGTGGGCTGCCCTGGGCGGCTAAGGCCCGCGCGCGAGCGCAGAACCGCTTCCGCCACCGCCTGTACTGCTTCCGCCTGCCCTACGACGCGCTCGTGGAGGCGCGCGGGGAGCACCAGCAGCCGCTCGCGCTCGTTCTGCCCGAGCCTTGTAACGGGAATGCCCGTCCAGCGGCTGACGACCTCCGCGATCTGATCCGGCCCGACGGTTTCCGTCAGCATGGGCTTGATGGCGGGTGCCGCGACTCCGCCGCTGGTGTCCATCGCGGCGGCAGCGGCGGCGGCGGCTTCCGCCTCCCTCTGGTACTTCCCGATGGCGGCGTCCAGCTCCGTGAGCGCGCCGTATTTCAGATCCGCGACGCGCGCGAGGTCCATGCGCGCTTCCGCCTCGTGCACCGCGACGAGCACCTCCTCGCGCTTGTGCTGCAGCCGGCGCAACTCGTCCACGCGCTCCTTCTCCCGCCGGTACCGCATCTGCAGCGGCTGCAGCTCCTCGCGCAGCGCGCCGAGCTGCTCGCGCACCTCCGCGGCGCGCATCTTACTCGCCTTATCCTTCTCCTTCTCCAGCGCGTGTAACTCCACCTCTAGCTGGATGCGCTTCCGCTCCAACGCGTCGATCTCCTCCGGCTGGCTGTCTAGGGTAACCCGAACGTTCGCGCACGCTTCGTCGACGAGGTCGATGGCTTTGTCCGGAAGGAACCTCCCCGTGATGTACCTGCTGCTGAGCTGCGCCGCGACGACGAGCGCGCGGTCCTGGATCTGCACGCCGTGGTGCCCCTCGTACTTCTCCCGCAGTCCGCGGAGGATGCTCACCGTATCCGCTACAGACGGCTCCTTTACAAGCACCTGCTGGAAGCGCCGCTCGAACGCCGCGTCCTTCTCGATGTATTTGCGGTACTCCTCGAGCGTCGTCGCGCCGATGCACCGCAACTGCCCGCGCGCGAGCATCGGCTTGAACAGATTCGCGGCATCCATGGCGCCCTCCGTGCGCCCCGCGCCGAGGATCAAATGCATCTCGTCGATGAAGAGAATGATGCGCCCCTCGCCTTCCTCCACCTCCTTTAGCACCGCCTTTACGCGCTCCTCGAACTCTCCGCGGTATTTCGCGCCCGCGACGAGCGCGCCCATGTCCAGCGCGATGAGCCGGACGTTCTGCAGGTTGCTCGGGACGTCGCCGCGCGCGATGCGCTGCGCCAGGCCCTCCACGACCGCCGTTTTCCCCACGCCGGGCTCGCCGATCAGCACGGGGTTGTTCTTCGTGCGGCGCGAGAGGATCCGCACGACGCGCCGGATCTCGTCGTCGCGCCCGATCACCGGGTCGAGCTTCGCTGCCATTTCGACGAGATCGCGCCCGTACTTTTTCAGAGCCTGGAAATTCGTATCGTCCGACGCGCTCTGGACCTTGGATTCGCCCCTCGTTTTAGCGAGTTCGACCTGCACTTTAGTCACGTTCACTCCCGCCTCCTTCATCGCGCCCGCGATCTGCGCATCCTCGATAAGAGCCAACACTAACGAGTCCACGGCCAGGTGCGAGTCCCCCGCTTTCTTCTGAAAGCTCTGCGCCTTGCGAAGCGCTTTTACGAGCGCGTGATTCGCGTGGATCTCGTCGGGTGCAGGCTCCTGAGAGGGAATCTTTTGGAGGAGCCGCTTGAAGGCGCGCTGCAGGGCTTGCGCGGTGTCGTCTCCGCCGCCGCCGGTGGCGGCGGAGTAGTTGTTGACGCCGGCGGAAGAAAAGGCATGGCGAAAGAGGCTGTCGGAGTCCTCGAGGAGGGTCAGCGCGACGTGCGCGGGCGTGATTTCTGGATGGCCGTTGGATTCCGCGAGCTGCTTCGCGGAAAAGAGCACCTCGTTGGTCTTGTGAGTAAAGGATTCGGGATTCATGGCGGCCTAGTATTGTTATAAGATAATATAATGAGAGAAAATGGCCAGTAAATGATCAAAGATCCTAAAATCAGTGAAAAGTTGAAAGCTAGGAACGATAATTCGAACAAGAGCCGAGCGTTGAGTGTGATACTGAGAGCTGTCACAGAGAATGGATACTTCGGATCGTCGATGAGTAAAATATCGGCTGCCATCGCACGAGCTTTATGCTGCGACCTCATGACGCGGTTCGGAGCGAACTTGCTTCGAGCAGTCGAATCGCACGCTCTAGCGTCGCGTTAGATTAGACTCGCTCACCAGGCGAGCATGCAGTTCTCCTAGACGCGTATCTGACGTGTGTGGGGTGAGCCTGGAATGAGCTAGAAGGGGCGAGAGATGGCGCTCATGTTCAGCTGGAAGAAGAGATGGAGACGAATGGCGAGAATATCGCTGGTAACGTGCGAAGATGCTGGAAGATGCGAGAAGCGAAGGGGCAGGGGCAGTAGTCCGATCGAAATACGCGAACACGGACAGTCGCGAAATAGACCTGGAAGAGTTGCGAACTCACCCGAAGGGTGCACGGCTTATTGTTTCATGTAACAGCGAATTTGCATGCTGAAATGTTTCTGTTCTCATACAGTATTCGTGGAAGCACATACAACTTTGGAAAATAATCATTTCAGTCAGTCTCCGCAAGGCCTTCTCATTATTCTATGCCATTGAACATTTATTTCTTCAAGATTTTGTGCTGTAACGTTTCACGAGCATTCGTCGTCGCCGCAACCATGTGATATGATCGCCGTACCTCGTCAGATCCGGTTACGTAGCCCCATGTGTTACGTAACCATGTTGTTAATGTCGTATGCATCCACCAAAGTCACGTCGGTTTGGCTTTAACCACCTGTCCACGTCCCAGTGTAGCCGGCGCTCCCCCTTCAGCTTTCACCACTGCTTTTAGCTACTGGCGGAAGCACGTCTCCGCGTCAAGGCAAAGCTTGCACCTGAACTGTGACACGCGACTCCGCCAATTGTTTGTGAACCACCTTTCCGTTCCGCCTCTCAACCGCAGCTGCAATTTCATTCGCTCGTGCCACCGCTTTTGCGCAAGCTGCTCCCCCCCTCACGACCAAAGCAGACGAGGAGGTTCCGTCCGTGGCGCTTGTGCGAGCGACACAGAAGTTCTCTGTACAGCAGCACCACCACCGGGTAGGTTTTTCGCGTTGTACGTTTGCTCTCCCCCCTTCCCTGAAAATGCTGCGCCAGCCCATTACCGCGGTCTGTGCCAAAAGTGGTGTTTTGCTCATTGGAAGCACTTCTAAACCGTTTTACGCTGTTAACAAAGTATTTTCGGAATACCTGAATTATACCAGACGACTTTAAAAAACACCCCCTCAATTACAGCAATTCCCTCAACCTTCGCTAGCAGGCACATTAGTCTGACGACCAGAAGCTTTGCTCCAAAAAAAGGGGGACTTGGAGCAAGTGGGAAGATCTTCCCCTCTTCCAGATTCCCCCACCAACACCCACCCCCCACCTCCTTCCCCGCGGACACACCTTATCGAGGGGAGCGATGCGATCGTTTTGGCGCAACAATCACGCGGATGTTGCCGAACCACATTGCTGTAACATTGTGCCACATGCTTTTCTCACTCTGAACCGTACTCAGCCATTCAGAAATATCTAGAAACTTTGTCTGTACATAATACATCTCACACTAACGTACTTCACCTCGTTCACGGCTATGACGTTCATGGATGCTTTTTCCAAGCACGAGTGCGGGAGCAGGAGTGTTTTTTGTTGGACGCGGCAGAAAAAAAGTGAGGCAGTGGAAACTATTTTGGGAACTTCTCACATTAGGGTTGCTAACTAGCAAATGGCTTGACTGACTGTGACTGACTGACTGCTTAACTCAAGCGAAGCGCAATGCTTTGTAAGAAAACGACTGACTAAGCTACCGCTTCCGTTTTGCCCGAAGTGTCACTCGCGCAGCCGCTTCTTTCCGTCATTGCTCCGACGACAACTTTAGTCGGTATTCGTTCGTAGCTCTGACCACGGTTCATGAGGCTATATTGCCCAGCGGCGCCTATTGAGCTCTCTCGCTCGTCTCTCTCTATCAGCTTGGCTATACTATATCCGTAGGCGATTAATATTATCCGTAAAAGGGCTGCTAGGCATAGTCTCCCTTAACTCGTTGCAAGAACGTAATTTTTGTCCCACAACTCGTTGGCTTCTCGTCAATGGAGGGGATTCGAGACCAGAAGATACGATATCAGCGCGTAAATTAGGCTTATAAATATTTACAAATAGCGTCCGCGGACGGAAGGCTTTGATTCCAATCAGCGAGCGAAATGGCGAACGACAACAACGTGCGTACACTCTTCCCTTACATCCCCTCTCTCCACTTACACTCACTCACAGATATGCGCACGCACACGCACGCGCACGCACGCAAAAGCCCCCTTTTTTTTTCGAGTGTTCTTGTTTGTTTGCCTTTTTTTTGGTCACATAATACACTCCCGCACACACATCCGCAGCCACGCACGCGCGCGCGCACACGCGCAATATTCTCAACTCTCGCACTTCTCTTTCCTCCTCCGCCTCCTGACCGTTTCCTTGCTGTTTCCCGCGCGCCTCTCCGCACACCTCCCCGCGTGCCTCCCCGCGCACCCAACAATAAATTTGTCGCCATCTTTCTGGTCCGGTCCCCCACTCCATCCCCTCGCTTCTCCCACCTCCATTTCCCGCACTTCAAGATTAAACTTTTCTTTCTTTCTCTCTCTCTCTCTCCGCTGCTGCCCGTTGCCTGTCTGTGCGCGTGTCATTGCCATGGCATCCCAACTCGTCTCCCATAACTGTGAACCCGTGTTCCTGGTCATCATTATCATCATCATCACCATCATCGTCGTCTTTCTCCTCATCAAAATCGTTGCTACCATCGGTTCGATCACCCCCCCCGTGCCGTGATCGCCGCAACCACTTGCGACCGCCGCAATCACCGCAATCGCCGCTGCTACCGCCGGTCGCGACCAGTCGGAGCGCCATCAGCGGTGGTTGCGGCGGCAGCTGCAGCAGCACATGCCGCGGCTCTTCCCGCTCATAGAAGAGGCGCTCGCGGCCTCCGCGCCCAACGCGCAGGTACCCTCCCCCCTCCCCCCTCCCCCTTCCCCCCTCCCCCCTCCCCCCTGCCCCCTGGCCCCCATGCTTTTCTCATTGTTCTGAATAATCCCCTCTCACCGTGTTCAGCCTGTCCCCGCTCACCACCCCCTCATGCCATCTCCGGTTGGTCATTCTCACTCAATCTCACATCAGTGGCAAGTACTCATTGCCAGTTAGCGCCGCAGCCCTGCCTGTCCTGCTTGCAGCACTGCGGATGGGGCCGATATTTTAAGCGCCTCAAAAATCGTCTGAAAATATCCCCCCCCCTCTGTTCGGCCTCTCCGCCTCCCCCCCGCTTCCCCCATGCTTCATCCCTGCGTGCCGGTCTTACAGCAATTTGTACAGGACCCGAGTGTAGATGTGCTTATAACGGACGAGAACACCGCGTATGACGTGGAGGACCTCCTTGCTGACCTGGCATCACGAGGTGAGGGGAGGGAGGGGTGCACTGATCTGATCATGCAGAGAGAGCCTGTGGGGGGCTGCTATGTAAGGCTGTGATGGGCGGTTATGGACTGGAAGCGGGCGCTATGGAAGGCCTTGCTATGCCTGCCTTTAGAGACGTCTCAAAAGAGGGAGGGGTTATAGATTGCTATGCACTGATCATGTCCTGAGAGCCTGTGAGAGGCTGCTATGGAAGGCTGTGCGGGGCGGTTATAGATTAGAATTGGGAGGGAGCAATGGAAAGGGCGTGCTATGCCTGCCTGCGGGGGACTGCTATGGGAGCATGTGGTGGGGTGTTACGGAATGGGAGCTTTTGGCGGGTAGCTTTAGGAGCCTGTGAGAGGCTGCCTTTGCCGTGGGAGGGGGTCTGTGATGTTCGGTTCCCCCTCCCCCCCAGGTGTGCTCGGCGCGCAGCAGGTGGACGCAGCAGTGCAGGAGAACGGTATTGAAGCAGAGACAGAAGCGGTAATAGCGTTCTTTCACTTCTCCCTCTTCCCGCTCTCATACTTCCCCTTCCCTCTCCCCATCCTTCCCCTCTCCCCCCCAGGTGTGCCCGGGGCGCAGCAGCTAGACACAGCAGTGCAGGAGAACGGAATAAAGGCGGAAGCAGAAGGAGTAGTGGTGTTCTTTGATGTGCTCATGGTGGTTCTAGATCAGTACTTGGGAAACAGACTCGGGAGCAAAGGCGAGCCTTCCCACCCTCATCCTTCCCTCCCTCATCCTTCCCTCCCTCATCCTTCCCTCCCTCATCCTTCCCTCCCTCTCACCATCCGCCACCCCCTTCCCCTTCCCCCCCGCTTTCCCTTCCCCCCAGGTGTGCCCGGGGCGGAGCAGCTAGACGCAGCAGTGCAGGAGAATGGCATGGAGGCGGAAGCAGAAGGAGTAGTGGTGTTCTTTGATGTGCTCATGGTGGTTCTAGATCAGTACTTGGGAAACAGACTCGGGAGCAAAGGGGAACCCGGCGATTGGGCGAGTGGGAGTGGGGAGGAGAGTGGGAGTGGTGGTGGGAGTGAGGTGGAGAGTCGGAGTGAGAGAGGGCGTGAGGAGGGGAGTGGGAGTGAGAGAGGGAGTGAAAGCGGGAGTGGGAGCGTGGGGGAAAGAGGGAGCGGGAGAGGGAGCAGGAGTGGGAGTGGGAGTGAGAGAGGAAGTGAGAGAGGAAGTGAGAGAGGGAGTGATAGTGGGAGTGATGTGCCCGTGGGAGCAATGGTGGGAGATGAAGACGAGGGAGAAGGGGAGTACGGATATGAATATGAGGGGGAGCGATCAGGGGAGGAGGATGTGTCAGATGGTGGGGAGGGGAGTGAGGGAGAATTGGAGGAGGAGGTGAGTGGAGAGGAATTGAGCGAAGAGGGATTGAGTGAAGAGGAAATGAGGAATGAGGAAATGAAAGATGAGGAAATGAGGGATGAGGAAGGGAGTGAGAGAGATTTGAGTGAGGAGGATTTGAGGGATGAGGAAGGGAGTGAGAGAGATTTGAGTGAAGAGGAAATGAGGGATGAGGAAGGGAGTGAGAGAGATTTGAGTGAGGAGGAAATGAGGGATGAGGGAGGGAGTGAGAGAGATTTGAGTGAGGAGGAAATGCGAGATGAGGAAGGGAGTGAGAGAGACTTGACTGAGGAGGAAATGAGGGATGAGGAAGGGAGTGAGAGAGATCTGAGTGGAGAGAGTGTGAGCGAGGAGGATTACGACCCTGATAGGCAAGATAGCAGGGAGGAGGAGGAAGAGGAGGAGGATAGAAGTGGCAGTTTTGACAGTGAGGGGCACGGCAGTGGGGATGGCCCGGATGGGTATGAGTCTGAGGAGTATGCCGCTGCAGGGAGAGGGGTCAGAGGGGCCGAGGAGCATGGGCCTGGGGACGAGGACTCGGATGGGGATGGGCGTGGGAGTGAGGCGGAGGAACAGGAGGAGGAGGATGATGCAGAGTATGCGAGCGAGAGTAGGAGTCACAGCGTTGGGGGTAGTGCTGCTGACAGTGCCAGTGAGAGTGTTGGTGAGAATGGCAGTGAGAACGGCAGTGTCATCGGCAGTCACAGTGGAAGCAGCAGGAGTGGCAGTGGCAGTGGTGGTGGCAGAGGGAGTGAGGATGGAGGCGGTGGGAGTGAGGGTGGTGATTATAGGGATGATCCGCCTGGGGATGGTGGTGTTTTTAGTGATGACGATGATGGTGATGGGAGTGATGGTGATGGGAGTGATGGTAGTGATGATGTTCCGATTGCTCGGCCAGGGGAAATGGATGGTCAAGGCGATTGGCCCCGTGGAGGTGAGTCACAAGGAGAGGATGACGTGTCACATGGAGAGGATGAGGAGTCGCAGGAGGAGGATGACGTGTCACATGATGAGTCACAAGGAGAGGATGACGTGTCACATGAGGAGGATGAGTTGTCACATGGGGAGGATGACGTGTCACATGGGGAGGATGAGTTGTCACATGGGGAGGATGACGAGTCGCATGGGGAGGAGGATGACGTGTCACGTGGTGATGAGCAGAGCTTGCATGGTGATGATGCTGAGCTTTATGGAGATGACCATGATTCACGTAGTGGTAGCTATGACTCGCATGAGGACAATGACCATGACCATGAGCATGGGCATGGGCATGGGCATGGGCATGGGCATGGGCATGATGAGTTTGCATCTGGCCCCATGTCTGCATCAGCATCAGAACTAGACGCAGAGTCGCAAGGCACGGCCTCAGAGCAGGATTTGGGTCCCGATCACGAAATGGGGTCAGAGCAAGATTTGGGTTCGGAGCAAGATTTGGGTTCGGAACAAGATTTGGGTTCGGAACATGATTTGCGGTCGGAGCAAGATTTAGATTTGGAATCGGAAGAGGAGACAGGTTTGAGACAAGATAGGGGTTCGGAAGAAGTGACGGGATCGGAACAGGATATGGGGTCGGAGCAGGATTTGGGATTGGAGCATGACAGGGAATCCGATGAGGAGACGGGATTGGAGGATGATTTGCCGCACGATCTGGTGCCAGAAGCGCGTATGGGGTCGGAGCAGGATATGGGATCGGAGCAGGATATGGGGTCGGAGCAGGATATGGGATCGGAGCAGGATATGGGATCGGAAGAAGATACGGGGTCGCAGCATGAAATGGGATCTCAAGACGGCATGGAATCGGAAGAAGATATGGGATCGGAGGTAGAGCGGTCGGAGGGAGACACGGGTTCTCAGCAGGGTGGAAGCTCGGAAGAGGACTTGGGATCGGAGCATCATGAAGGATCGGAAGAGGATTTGGGGTTGGAGGGAGAACTGGGATCAGAGGAAGAGTCGGGTGATGATGCCGTTGTGGCAGCAGCGGCAGTGATAGGAGACAGTCGGGAGTATGGTGATGGAATGGGATCGGAACAGGATATGGGATCAGAGGGAGACTTGGGGTCGGAGGGAGAGTCGGATGATGATGCAGTGGTGGCAGCAGCGGCAGTGGTGGGGTACAGGCGGGGGCACGGTACAGGGTCAGAGCATGATGAAGGGTCGGAAGAGGATTTGGGGTTGGAGGGAGAACTGGGATCGACACCTGCCCCTCTGTCTGCTTCCTCTACCGCCTCTGATGCCTCATCTGACAATGAATCTGTTCCCGTGGCCTCACAGCTGGCTCCTGAGTCCCCTCTAAAGCCGTCATCTCCTGACAGAATCAATGCCTCATCTGACGACGACTCTGCTGTTCCCGTGGCCTCTCAGTTGGCTTCTGAGGCGCCTCACAAGCCGTCCTCTGATTCCTCGTCTGATGATGAAGACGAATCTGTTCCCGTGGCCTCTCAGGCCTCTCAGGCCTCTCAGTTCACGTCCTCCTCTCTCCCTCCTGCCGCTGCCGCTCCATCACAACAACTGCTTTCTCACCCGTCTCAAGAACCAGAAACTTCCGTTACACCTGCCTCCGTCCTTCTTGCTGCTGAGAGTCCTGCAGGCGAGGGGGGTTACAGTGGGGAACCGGCAGTGGGGAGTTTACAAGGGCAGGTGGGGGGAGAGTATGGGGATGAGGGGCGGTTGGGGGAACGGGCAGGAGATGGGGGTCTGGGGGAGCAGCTAAGGGACGCTATGAGTGTTGAGAAAAGGTTGGGTGGGGCGAGAGGGAGTGGGGAGGGATCAGGAGCTGCTGCTGCAGTAGCAGCAGGAGAAGCAGCAAGAGCAGCATTAGCAGCAGGAGCAGCAGTAGAAGCAGCAGAGGGAGCAGTGGCCGCAGCAGCAACACCGGCAGAAGAAGCAGAGGGGAGGGGGGAGGGGGGAGCAGCAGCTGAGAGAGATGGTTCACAGGGTACAGAGGGGAATGGTGGAGAAGAGGGGGAGAGTCCCGGGTCTAGCAGGGGAGAGGGGGAGGGGGGAGGGGCTGTGGAAACACCAGGGGGGCGTGGGCGGGGGAGGGGGAGGGGGAGGGGCATAGCAAGGGGAAGGGGGGAGGGGCAACTGGGCGTGGACGTGGGCGGAAGGGGACGAGGGGGGATTGTAAGGGGAACGAGCGGGGATGGCAGAGGGGGGAGGATGGGGGGAAGGGCGGTTGCGGGGAGGGGCAGGGGGAGGGGAGTGTGGGAAGGGGGAGGCGGAGGATGGGGGCAGGGCCCTGGGCGGGGACGGGGAAGGGGGGCGCAGGTGGGGGAGGTGGGGGAAGGAGGGGGCGGGGAAGGGAGAGAGGGAAGCGGGGAGCTAGAACTGGAGCAAATAGAAGGGGCAGGGGAAGGGGGAGAGGGGGCTGTTGAAGGGGGAAGAGGGCGGGGGAGGGGCCGAGGGGGTTTAGGGGGACGTGGGCGGGAGGGGGGGCTTGGGAGGGGCATGGGGAGAGGAGGGCCGGGGAGGGGGTCACCCGGGGGGAGAGGTGCAGGGGGGAGGGAGGGGGTGATGGGTAGGCTGGGGGGGAGAGGGAGGGGTATGGCCGTTGGGAGAGGGCGTGGGAGGGAGATAGGCGGAAGGGGGAGGGGGAGAATGGGGCCTGGGGGAAGGGGCGTGGGTTTAGATGCAGATGCAGCAGTAGCAGAGGCAGCAGCAGTGGCAACATCAGCAGCAGCACGAGAAGCAGCAGTAGGAGAAGGAGAAGAAGGGAAAGGAGAGACAGAAGCGGGAAGAGGCGAAGAGGAAGAGTCAGCAGCCGTGGCAGGAGGGGCAGTGGAAGCAGTGGCGAAAGGTGGAGATGGGGGGTTTGAGAGGGATAAAGATGGGAGCGTGGGAAGTGGAGAGATGGAGTATGGTTACGAGGAGTGGAGAGATGAGGAAACACCGAGGCAGAGAGAGGAGCAACAAGAGGAGGTTGTTGTGGGAGGTGAGAGCAAGTCTGGTTTGGAGTCTGAGTCGAGTGACGAACAGCAAGTGGTTGCTGCGGGGGTTGAGGAGAAGGGTGAAGCAGAGAAAATCGACGAAGCAGAGATGGGCAAGGCAGGGGACAAGGGCGAAGCAGGGGAGGAGGGCAAAACAGACGGGAACAGGGAGGAAGAAAGGGAGGAAGGCAACGTGGAGGGAAGCGAGAGCAAGGAAGTGGATAGGGATAGGGATGTGGTGGTGGTTGTTGGTGTGGACATGGAAGGGCAAGAGTGGGAGGCGCAGGGATTGAGGAATGAGAGGGAAACCGTAGCACAGGGGAATTCAGGAGAGAGCAGGCTGGAGGTGAGGGAGCAGTGGGAGCAGAGGGAGGATGGAGAAGGGATGGAAGGCAGCAGTCGAGAGGATGGGGTGGATGGTGATGGGGAGAGGGAGGGTGTGAGGGAGCGAGCTGGAAGTGAAAGGGTGGAAGGGAGTGAGGGGATGGAGAGGGGGAGTGTGGATGAGGAGGGAGCTTATGAGAGGCAACAGCAGCATTGGAACGAGCAGGGGAGTGAGAAGGGGAGTGAGGAGGGGAGTGAGAAAGGGAGCAAGGAGGGGAGGGAGGAGGGGAGCGAGAAGGGAAGTGAGGAGGAGAGTGATGATGATGTGGTGATGGCAGCAGCAGCAGTGGAGGAAAGTGATGGAAAGTCGGGAGACAAGGGGAGTGAGGAGGGGGGCGTGAGGGAGGCGGATGGTGAGGGAGGTAGGAAAGGGAGTAGTGAGATGGGGAGCGAGGGAGAGAGTGCGAGAGGGAGTGAGAGGGAGTGGGAGGGGATCGATGCAGTTAGAGAAGGGGGGCAGCAATGGGGAGAGGAAGGGAGTGAGCCTGGTTTTGAGAATTCTCAAAATCAACCTCAAACGGAAGGGAGTGAGCCTGGTGATATGGATGAGATGGAAGCGGAAGAGAGAAGTGAGGGGGGAAGTGAGACGGGGAGTGAGCAGAGGAGTGGAGGGGGAAGTGAGGAGGGAAGTGAGAAGGAGAGTGAGGAGGGAAGTGAGAAGGAGAGTGAGGAGGGGAGTGAGGAGAGGAGTGAGGAGGGAAGTGAGGAGGAAAGAGAGGATGGTGATGTGTATGCATTGGAGGATGAGCAGGGAAGCGAGGGGGGGAGTGAGAGTAGAGGTGGGGGTGACGAGGGTGATGACAGAGACGGGTTTGAGAGAGGAAGTGAGAGTGAGAGTGAGGGTGAGAGAGGGGGTGAGGAGGAGAGCGATCGGGAGAGTGTGGAAGGGAGTGTGAGAGAGGGCAGTGAGGATGCAAGAAGTGGGGAGGAGAGGAATGAGGAGAGGAGTGAGGAGGGGAGCGAGGAGTGGAAGGGAGACACTGCAGAGTTGGAGGGGAGGGAGGGAAGGGATGAAGAGGAGGATGAGGACAATAGCAGAAGAGGGAGTGATTCTTCGGGAGGGGAAGAGGAGGCGGAAGGGGAAGGAGAAGAGGAGGAGAGAGGAGGAGGCAGTGAGTTTGGGGAGAGGAGTGGATCAGAGAGTGGGCGTTCGGAGGAGGAGTATGGTTCGCGAGTGGAGGGTGCAGAGAGGGCGGATTCGCGTGTGTGGGAGCAAGGGGAGGAAGATTCGCGTGTGTGGGAGCAAGGGGGGGAAGATTCGCGTGTGTGGGAGCAAGGGGAGGAGGATTCGCGAGTGTGGGAGCAGCAGTCAGGGGATGAAGCTTCGGAGAAAGAAGGTTCTGAGAGGGGCTTTAGAACTGAGGGGTCAGAGGACGGGGTTGGGGATGGGGAGTCGGATATTGTGAGTGAAACTGAAGGATCAGAGGGGATGGGGGTGGAGGGAGGAGATGGATTGGAAGCTGGGGAGACAGATGAAGTGGATGAAAGATCGGAAGACGAGAGATCAGAGGATGAGAGATCAGAAGAAGAGAGAGTAGAAGGTGCAAGATCAGAAGAGGAGAGATTAGAGGATGAGCGATCAGAAGAAGAGAGATCAGAAGATGAGAGATCAGAGGATGAGCGATCAGAAGAAGAGAGATCAGAGGATGAGAGATCAGCAGAGAAAAGAGCAGAAGGCGAAAGATCAGAAGAGGAGAGATCAAAAGGAGGGGGAGAAGCGGATGGAGCGTGGGCAGTGGAAGGGGAGGAGGAGGAGCAGCGAGAGCAAGAGGAGACAGATGAGGAGGAAAATCAGGAATCAGGGGACGATGGGAGATTAGAAGAGCTGGAGAGTGGGAGGAGGTGGGATGGGAAAGAGAGGAACGAAGGGAGTGAGGGGAGTGAGGGAGGAGAGGAGAGTGAGGGTAGCAAAGAGGAGTTTGAGCAAGTGAGGGAGGAGTCGAGAGTGTGGGAGGGGGAAGGTGTTGATGGGGGTACAGGAGAGTGGAGGGATGAAAGTGGAAGGTTTGATCGTGCTTTGAGTGGTAAGAGTGATGGGATGGAGAGAGATCAAGGAGAAAGGAGTGAGGAGGGGAGTGAGGAGGGGAGTGAGGGGAGGAGTGAGGCGGGGAATGAGGAGAGGAGTGAGGAGGGGAGTGAGGAGAGAAGTGAGGAGGGAAGTGAGGAGAGGAGTGTTGAGGGGAGCGATGAGAGAAGTGAGGGTGGGAGTGAGGGGAGGAGCGAAGAGGGTTCGGAGGAAGGGAGTGAGAGGGATGGTGATGAGAGGGAGGAGGATTGGGAGGAGAGGAGGGAGCATGGTGAGGAGGAGGGGATGGGGCATAGTGACAGTGAGGAGGTGGGGAGGGGCGGATTAGAGTACGAAAAGGATGGGATAGGGAGTGAGGAAGACGAAGAGTTTGAGAGGAGCGAGGAGGAGAGGAGCGAGGATGATGAAGAGGAGAGGAGGGAGGAGGAAGAGGAGGAGAGGAGTGAGGAGGAAGAGGAAGAGAGGAGTGAGGACGAGGAGGAGGAGGAGGAAGAGGAGGAGGAAGAGGAGGAGGAGGAGGAGGAAGAGGAGGAAATACCAGTGATGCTTGCTGCGGGGCCCTTTGTGAGAGCAGCAGTTGGATCAGCAGTTGCAGCTTCAAGGGGGGATGGGAGCAACGTAGAGGACTTTATAGAGGAAGGAGAGGGGGAGAGTGAGGAGGGAAGGGATGAGGCGGATGAGGAGGAGAGAGCTTTGAGTGCGGAGCAAGAGGAAAGTGAGGAGGAGGGTGAGGGAGAGGAGGATGTTGATAGGGAGAGTGAGGATGGGAGGCATGGGGAGAGAGAGGAGGAAAGTGAGGGAGGGAGTGGGGGGGAACGTGATGACGAAAGTGAGGGGGGTAGAGAGGGGAGGAGGGATGGAGAAGGCATGCATGCTGACGTGGTGGAGAGTGAGGAGGAAAGGGATGGGGAACGTGGGATCTCAGAGAGTGAGAGAGGGAGTGAGAATGAGATTGAGATTGAGAAAGAGAATGGGAGTGAGAGTGGGAGTGAGAGAGAGGACAGCCATGGAGGGGCGGACATGTACGGAGAAGCAGAGGGGCTTCGGGAAGGAGACATGGATGGGGATGGGATGTATGGGGATGGGTTGCACGGGGATGGTATGCACGGGGATGGTATGCACGGGGATGGTATGCACGGGGATGGTATGCACGGGGATGGGTCATCAGTGCACGAGAGTGAGGATGGAGAGGGGAGCGTGAGTGAGAGTGAGGAGACGCGTGGGGCGCGTGGGATGGAAGAAATGGAAGGGATGGTTGGTAGTTTGGATAGGGATGGTGGGGGGGATATGTATGAGGGTGGGGAGAGTGGTGAGCTGAATGATGGGCGGAAGGATGGAGAGCAGGAGATGTATGGGGATGGGCGCAGTGAAGGGGAGGATGGGCGCAGTGATGGGGAGGATGGGCGCAGTGATGGGGGGGATGGGCGCAGTGATGGGGAGGATGGGCGCAGTGAAGGGGAGGATGGGCGCAGTGAAGGGGGTTTATCAAGGGAAGAGGAAGAGGAAGAGGAAGACGATGTACCAGCGCAAAGGTACGCACAGGAGAGTGATGACGAGGAAGGGCCGATGGAGAGGAGTGGAGAGTGGGAGAGGAGTGGAGAGATAGAGAGGACTGGAGAGATAGAGAGGAGCGGAGAGATGATGGGTGGAGTGGTGGATGGTTCACACATGGGGGGGGGTGATTCAGGTCCATGGGAGCACGCTGAAGCTGAGGGAGAATCAGGGGAGGGGGAGTCAGAGGAGGAGGGGTCAGAAGCTGGAGGATTGGAAGGAGGGGGATCTGAAGAGGGGGGATCGGAAGGAGGGGGATCTGAAGAGGGGGGATCGGAAGATATGGGATCAAGAGGAGAGAGCGTGGATGGGGAAGAGGATATGTATGGGGATGGCACTACAGCAGGGTTATTGGGAGATGAAACGGGGCGTGCACAGCATGGCATGGACCAATCAGGAGGTGACATGGGCATGGGCATGGACATGGGGGGATCAGTAGACTCTCAGAGTGATGGCTATGATGGGATGGGTCATTCAGGGGAAGTGCCTGAAGTCTCAGGTGAAATTTCAGGTGGTTTGATGCACCAGGCAGGCCAGATGCAGGATGGGAGGCCTGGTCCCGATTCAGTGTATTCAGGTGAAGTGGCAGCATCAGGGGAGGTTACACCTTCAGGGGATGTTGGGTGGCAATCAGGAGGAGAAGAAGCAGAGCGAGGGCTTGGGGATGATGGCCTTGATTCAGGAGATGACATGGATGGTTCGGAAGATGAAACGAGGGAGTTTGGAGATGGAACGAGAGAGATTGAGGATGGAACGGGCGAGTTTGGGGATGAGACGAGGGAGTTTGAGGATGAGACGAGGGAGTCTGGGGATAAAACGAGGGAGTCTGAAGATGAAACGAGGGAGTTTGAGGATGAAACGAGAGAGCTTGGGGATGAAACGAGGGAATTAGAGGATGAGACGAGGGAGTCTGGGGATGAAACGAGGGAGTTTGAGGATGAGACGCGTGAGCCTGGGGATGAAACGAGGGAATTCGAGGATGAAATAAGGGAGTCTGAGGACGGAACGAGGGAGTTTGAGGATGAAACGAGGGAGTTTGGAGATGAAACGAGGGAGTCTGAAGATGAACTGGGGCATGATAAGGGTGAAGCTGGCAACATGCCAATCACAATGGAGCAGTCAGGCGAGGCAGTGGAGCGATCTGGAGATGAAACGAGTCAGTTAGGAGATGAAACGTGTGAGTACGAAGGGACTGGGGAGTACAGTGGAGTGCACATGGAGAGGGGCGAAGGAGAGGAAGGGAGTGCGAGTGAGGGAGAGAGGAGTGAGGAGGAGAGTGAGGGAGAGATTGAGGGAGAGAGGAGTGAGGGAGAGGGGAGTGAGGGAGAGGAGAGTGAGGGAGAGATTGAGGGAGAGAGGAGTGAGGAAGAGAGTGAGGGAGAGAGGAGTGAGGAGGAGAGAGAGTTAGAGATTGAGAGAGAAAGGAGTGACCAAGAGAGTGAGAGAGAGAGGAGTGAGGAGGAGTGTGAGGGAGAGACTGAAAAGGAGAGGAGTGCGGTAGAGAGTGAGAAAGAGCGGAGTGAGGGAGAGAGGAGTGAGGAAGAGCGGAGTGAGGGAGAGAGGAGTGAGGAAGAGCAGAGTGAGGGAGAGAAGAGTGAGGGAGAGAGGAGTGAGGAAGAGAGGAGTGAGGGGGAGAGGAGAGAGGAAGATAGTGAGGGAGAGATGACTGAGGAGAGGCACTGGGCAGAGGAGAGCGGTGGTGTGGATGGGGAAGAGGGTGGGTCGAGTGGGAGTGAGGGTGGTGTGGTAGCAGCTACGATGGTGGAGGAAGATGAGGAGGAGGAGGAGGAGGAGGAGGAGGAGGAGGAGGAGGAGGAGGAGGAGGAGGAGGAGGAGGAGGAGGAGGAGGAGGAGGAGGAGGAGGAGGAGGAGGAGGAGGAGGGAGATGAAGAGGAGGAGAGTGGAGAGGAAGAGATAGGAGGAGGGAGTGAGATGGGAGAGGGTGAGAGTGTGGGAGGATGGGTGGAGAGGGGTGAGGGAGAGAGGGGTGGAGAGAGAGGACTGGAGGGTAGGTGGGGCATGCAAAATGGAATGGAATCCGGTGGCATGGGTATGGGTGCGGATGGCATGGGTATGGATGCGGATGGCATGGATATGGGTGCGGATGGCATGGATATGGGTGCGGATGGCATGGATATGGGTGCGGATGGCATGAGTGTTGATTCAGATGACATGGGTGTGCTTTCAGGTGGTGGTACCATGGGTATAGATATGAAGCTAGGTGTACTGAATTCCATTGGTAAGGACACCCTTGGAGGGACCAAGACGAGCCTTGTAGGGAGTGAAGGGGGGGACGCATGGGAAGAGGAGGGGAGCAATGCAATTGAGAGAGGGCATGGCGTGGGGAGTGATGAGGAGAGTGAGAAAGCGAGTGAGGAGGATGAGTGGGAGAAAGAGGATGAGGGCCGAGCCTTGGAGAATGGCACAGCTTTGCAGGGCGCCCGAGGCTCGGAACCGCATGGAGGTTCGGAGGATGGCTCGGACAGAGGCTCGGATGTGGGAGAAGGGAATGGAGTACCAGGGTCTGACGAGGATGATGATGATGACGTGGCAGTGGCCGAGACGGTCGGTAAAATGGCAGGTGAGCTGCCAGGTGAGTTGTCAGGTGATTTTGGAATTTCAGGTGAGAATGGTGTTTCAGGAGGTGAGAAGACGACGCAGGGTGATGCCGTGGCAAATGTGGTTGGTACCGACGACATGGGTGGGTTGGATGGTTTGGATGGTTTGGATGGCACGAACGCCGTGCATGGCAAAGATGTCACCACCATCGATGCTTCTGGGAGCACATTGGTGCAGTCTCAGCAGTCTTTGCCTTCAGACAGTCGCGCGAGCAAGAGCGAATCCGAGGGGTCTGGTGGTGGGGTGGCAATGGTAACAGCGGCACCAGCGTTGGCGGCACAGGCAGCAGCAGGAGGGCAGCAATCAGAACCATCAGCAGTAACCGCACCAGACGCAGCAGCAGCAGTAGCAGTGGCGGCAGCAGCAGCAGCAGCAGCAGCAGCAGAACCAGAAGGAGCAGCAGCCGCAAAAGTGGGAGGGGCAGCAGCAGTGGTGGCAAAAGCAGAGCCTTCGGTGCTAGAAGTAGCAGCAGAGGGGAAAAATACGCAGCAACAAGTGCAGCAGCAGCAGCAGCAGCAGCAGGAGAGTGTGCAGAAGAGTGGGTGGGTGTCATGGATGGGAGGTGCAGTGGCAAGCCTGCTCACCCCTCATGTGCGAAAACCCTCTGTTGACGTCACTGCGATGCAGGCAGCAGCAGCTGTACCTCCTGAAGTATCACCTGAGATAACACCTGATGTTACAGCACCTGCTGGTGTTACGGCACCTGATGTCATGAAGGGTGGTCTTATGGCAGTGCAAGAGCTACCTTATAAGGAGGATGCAGACACCCTTTCAACTGGTAACGGTCCTTTGCCTCCAGAGCACACCATTTCTCCACCACACCACACAACCCCTGCCATTCCTTTGGAAGACTTGTCACTACCTGTCACATACCCCACCCCCGTCTCCCACACCCTCTCCACCCAACCTGCCCCTGCCAAGCCTGCCGTTGCCGAGCCTGTCGCTGCCAAGCCTGCCTCTGCCGAACCTGTCCCTGCCGAGCCTCTGTTGTGTGGGTCTGCTGGAGAGGGCGCCGAGGGGGCAGTACTGTTTCAGGTGGCTGCGAAAACACCTGCGTCAGGTGGTGTGGTGCAGTCAGGTGGGACTGGGACCGTGCCAGGTGAATCTCCAGGAGGTTTGCTCCAAGGGAAGATGCCCAACGGGTATGCTAGTATGGGGGAAAGGGAGGGTAGCGAAAGTGAGGGGAGCGAGGAGGGTGTAGGGAGTGAGGAGGGTGAAGGGGGTGTGGGAAGTGAGGGCTTGGAGCGTGGTGCCAGTGGTATGAGTGAAGAGAGGATAGGCGATGTGTATGGTGCGGGTGACAATGATAATATTGGTGGGGAGGAAGGGGATATGTATGATGATGAGGGTGATGAAAGTGATGCATCCAATGGGGAGGAGAGGGACATGCATGGTGGGGAAGGAGGGGATATGTATGGTGAGGGTGAGAGTGATAATTCTGGTGGGGAGGAAGGGGATATGCATGGTGGGGAGAAAGATGATACGTATGGTGAGGGTGAGAGTGATAATTCTGGTGGGGAGGAAGGGGATATGCATGGTGGGGAGAAAGATGATACGTATGGTGAGGGTGAGAGTGATAATTCTGGTGGGGAGGAAGGGGATATGTACGATGAGGGAGAAAATTATGCAACTAACAGGGAGAAAGGTGATATGTATGGTGAGGGTGAAAGTGATGCTTCTGGTGGGGAGGAAGGGGATATGTACGGTGAGGAGGGAACAGAGGAGTTAAGTGGGGTGCAACGATCACATGAAGGATGGAGGGAAGAATCCGAAGAGAGAAGGTCAGAAGAAGGGGAGCCGGAGGAGGGGGAAGGATTAGAAGAGGGGAGGTCAGAATTGGGGGCATCAGAAGAAGGGAGGTTAGAAGAGGGAGAGTCGGAAGGGGAGGAGAGAGAAGAGCGAGATTCACAGGGCGAGTTGGCTGAGAGGCGTGATGAGTGGGGCGGAGAGAGAGGCTCAGGTGCAGAGTGGGAGGATGGGCAGGAGGGGCAATCGCAGGATGGGGAAGAGGAAGAGGAGGAGGAGGAGGAGGAGGAGGAGGAGGAAGAGGAAGATGAGGAGGAAGGAAGAAGGCATGGGGATGGAGCAAGGATGGGAGAGGGGTTTCCTAGGCCGTGGGAGCAGCAGGGTGGGTGGGAGGGACAGGAGAGTGGGGAGGAGAAAGAGGAGGACGAGAAAGAAGAGGAGGAAGAGGAAGAAGAGGAAGAGGAGGGCGACAGGCAATGGGGAGGCGAGGACTGGGGCGGACAAGGAGGAGGAGGAGGAGGAGGAGGGGACGGGAGATTTCTTGAAGGGAACGATGGGAGGGCTCTGGGTTTGAAAGAAGAAGAGGATGGAGAGTCCGATCTGATGAGCGATGGTGGAAATGGCATGGGTTCGTTCAAGCAGCAGGAGGATGAGCGTGAATCGGATGAGCATAGCGGTGAGCATAGAGAGGTGGATATGGGGTGGGATGAGAGGGGGAGTGAAGGGAGCTTCGTGGGGAGGAATGAGGAGGAGAGGAGTGAGGAGGAGAGGGATGAGGAGGAGAGGAGTGAGGAGGAGATAAGTGAGGAGGAAGAGAGGGATGAGGAGGAGAGGAGTGAGGAGGAAATGCAGAGGGGGGAGAGCATGGAGAGTGGGAGTGCTGATGGGGCGGAGCAGGTAGAGGAGTGGGAGGAAGAGGGAAGGAGTGAAAGGGATGGTGGCGGTGATATGTATAGTGGTGCTATCGCGGAGGAAGAGGAGGAGGATGGGGATAGGGAGACCGAGGAGGAAGAGGAGGAGGATGGGGAGGAGGAGCAGGAGGAGCAGGAACAGGAGGAAGAGGAGGAGGAGGCACGTTATGGCAACTCTTTCCCTCCACCCTCCCATCCCTCCCACTCCTCCCATGTTGACAGTGTTCCTCCCTTACCGCCCTCGCTCCCGCCTGCTCTTGCCTCCCGCCTCCAGTCCTTCTCCCCCTATCCACGCGTGACCTCATGGCATGCTAATGATCCCCAGTCCATGCCGCGAGCCTTGGGAGGCATGGGGGGCGTGGGGGGCGCTGGTGGCATGGGAAGGATGGGGAATGGGGTGGTGGCGTATGGTAAGGCAATGCGGAGTTATAGCAATAGGGATTATGGTGGGGGGGTAGAGTATGGTAAAGCAATGCGGAGTTATAGCAACCGGGATTACCAGAGTGGGAATGCGCAAGGCATGGCAGTTCGGAGTTTCAGCAACAGGGATTTCGGTGTGGGAGGGAGAAACGGGGTGGAGTTTGGGAGGGAAGGAGCGGCGATGGAGGGAGAGGGAGCAGTACGAGGGGGGCAAGATGGGGCGTGGAAGGAAGGATGGAGGCCGTTTCAGGGTGTTTCGGTGCAGGCTGTTGGGTCAAGCCTTGGCTATCCGGTTGCTGCTGCTGGTGCTGGGATGGGTGGAGCAGGGTCGGGAGTGGTGGAGGAGGAGGAGATAGAGGGAGGGGAGGAGGAGCAGGGAAGACTGTGGGAGGAAGCAGAAGAGGAGGAGGAGGACGAGAAAGAGGAGGCATTGGAGGAGGGAAGATTATGGGAGGAAGTGGAGGAGGAGGGGGATGAAGAGGAGGAGAAAGAGGATGAGGCAGTAGAGGAGGGTAGGTTGTGGGAGGTAGCAGAGGAGGAGGAAGAGGAGGAAGACGAGTCAGAGGGGGAAGTGGAGGGAGGGGTAAGGAAGCAGGAGGGTTCCGGGCAGTTGCTATGGAATGAGGGTGAAGCCATGGAAGAGGGAAGTGAGGAGCAGGAGCAGAGTGAGGAAGACGAGGCGGGTGAGGAAGGCAGGGAATTTGAGGGGAGTGAAGGGAGTGAGGGGAGTGAAGGGAATGAGGAACATCAAAGGTACGCGATGGAGGAGTATGGAGAGGGGTTGGATGCGGATGGACGGTGGGACGGAGAGGGAGGTGAAGGAAGGGGAACGAGAGGAGAATACGGAGGTATGGAGGTTGGAAGTGGGAGTGATGGGGCTGAGGGGAGTAGGATGTCTGACGAGCAACTGGAGAGGGTTGTGGAGGAGGGAATGGGAGAGGGAGAGGGGGAGAGTGAGGGAGAAGGAGAGGGATGGGTGGGAGAGGAAGGAGAGGGCATGCGGGGAGCAAAGCAAAGGAAGGAAGGCAAGCTATGGTCAGATGATGAGGAGGAGGAAGAAGAGGAGGAAGAAGAGGAGGAGGAGGAGGAAGAGGAGGGAGGAGTTGAAGGTCCAGGGGGACACATGGTAACTCGTGAGGGCTTGATGATGGTTCGAGCTACGGCTTCGGGGCATAGCGAAGCAACAGCAGCAGCAGGAGGAGATATGTACAGCATGGGAGATGCTTATAACGCGGATGGGAGCTACGGGAATGGGGGTGGTGGTGATGCATCCATGCAGCAGCAGCAGCAGCACGTGCCTCAGGAGAGGTTTCTAGACAGTCAAGTCCCGTGGAAACCCCAATCGACATCAGAAGAGAGTGAGAGTGAGAGCGGGGTTATGGACGCATTTCCAGTCACTGCTGCTGCTGCCGGTGGTGCTGCCGGTGCTGCTGGTGCCAATGCAGCCGGTTTCTCTGCTGGTACTTCTGCTGCCGCTGCTGTTGCTGCTGGTGAGGAGTCTACTGAAGATGAGGCGGAGAGGAGGAGGAGAGAGCGGGAGCAGAAGCGGGAGCGGAAGGAGCGGCGGGAGCGGAGGGAGAGGCGAAGGCAGTCGACTCTGTCGGCTTTAAGTGGGCATGAGAGTGATGCTTCGGCGATGGAGTGGCGGCAGGAGGAGGAGGAGCAGAGAGCGAAGGGACAGCCGGGAATGTTGGTGCTAGGGCAGCAGGTGGTGTTGCTGAGAGGGACAGGAGAAGGAGAGGATGCGTTCACTTCTGATGCAGGGAATGAGGAGATGGGGGGGCTGGTTGGGGAGGGTGTGGGGAGGGTGAGTGGGATTGGGTTGGCTGCTGTGGCTGGTGGGGAGAGGTGGAGTGCCGGAGAAGGTTTGGGTGGTGGTATGGGGCAGAGAGAGGCGGAGATGGAAGGGAGGGAGGAAGTAGGGAGGGAGCGGATGAATGTGGAGGGAGGGATGAGGATGGATGAAAGGATGGATGAGAGAATGGATGAAAGGATGGATGAGAGAATGGATGAAAGGATGGATGAGAGAATGGATGAAAGGATGGATGAGAGAATGGATGAAAGGATGGATGGGCGGATGGATGGAAGGGTAGGCAAGAAAATTGTTGAAGGGACAGGTGGGGGGATGGGTAAAGGGATGGAAGAAGGGGTGGGGTCTGAGGTCTTGGTTATTGAAGCACTTGCCGTGGGGAAGAAGAAAGGAGAGGGGGGGAAGAGTGGGAAGAAGAGTGGATCGAGTAAACACAACTCTCGAGGGGAAGAGAAGGATAAGAAAAGCTCCCGAAGCGCTACAAAGAAAGGGGAAGGGGATGGGGGAGGGGAAGGGGAGAAGAAGAAGAAGAAAAAGAGCAAGAAGAAGAAGGAGCCTGAGCAAGAGGCTGGGGAGGGAGAAGATGGGAAGGAGAAGAAGAAGAAACGGAAAAAGAAGAAGAAGAGTAAGGAGGGAGAGGAGGAAGGGGCTGAGGGTGAGAAGACAGACAAGAAAGTCAAGAAGTCTAAGAAATCGAAGAAGAGCAGTAAAGGGGAGAAGGAGGGGGCAGGTGGAGATGCAGCAGCAGGTGGGGATGATTCGAAAAAAAAGAAAAAGAAGAAGAAAAAGAAGAAGAGCAAGGAGGGAGGAGAGGAGGAGGGTGAAGACAACAATGGGAAGGAGGAGAAGAAGCGAGGGAAGAACAAAGGCAAAGGGAAGAAGAAGGAGAAGGAGAAGGAGAAGGAGAAGGACGGAGCAGGGGAGGAGGGAGACGGAGGGGAGGGCGAGAAAAAGAAGAAGAGTAAGAAGAAGAAAAAGAAGGAGCACGAGAAGAAGAAGAGCAAAAAGGGCGGGGGAGGAGGAAAGGAGGACGGGGCATTCGAAGATGGGGGAGAAGATGGGGAGGGCGCAGGGTTCGTGGGAGGGGAGGGAGAGGAGGGGCAGGGGGGACAGGCAGGGCTCAAGCGATTGGTGGAAGCTGGGAGAGCAAGGGACAAGAGAGCTATGAGTGCTGCAATGACACGAGTTGCGAACTGGGTGGAAGAGAGTAAGGCAGCGCAGAGCAGGGCAGCGCAGGGTGTAGGGGATTGGGAGGGTGGAGGAGAGGGGGAGGGAGGAAGGGAAGGGGGCATGGGGGAGGGTGGGTTGGAGGAGGAACCGTGGCAGGGGGCGGAGGGAGGGGAGTGGGATTCGGATGGGGAAAGGGAAGCAGGGGAAGGGGACGGGGAAGGGGAAGGGGAAGGGGAAGGGAGCCTGGTGATGGCGCAGGTTTCCCCCATGATGGGGCTTTCTCCCCCCATGCGCGCTTCCCCCCAGCAAAGCTGGTCCGCCTGGAGGGGGGATGAGGGGGAGGATGATGAGGGGGAGGGGGGAGGGTTTAGGGGGTTGAATGGAGAGGGGGATGGGAGCGTTGGGGAGGGGGCAGAGGTATTGCGGGGACGTGGGGAGTGGGGGGAGGATAGAGTAGGAAGAGGGGGGAGGAAGGAGTCTGATGCAGGGGATGCTGCTGGGGAGGAAGATTGGGGGAGCGGACAGGAGGGGAGGGGTGGAGTGGCAATGGCAGCAGCAGCAGCAGCGGCAGCGGCAGCGCAGCAGCATATGGGTCAAGGAGCGCGATTCATGAGTAACGGACAGAGAGAGGAGAGAGAGGAGGAGGAGGAGCAGGATTATGGAGGAGGAGAGTACCTAAATGAGCATGCATATGGCAGTGAGGAGGAGGATGAGGAGGAGGAAGGGGAGGAGGAGGGAGAGGAGGAGGGAGAAGAGGATTCGAGGAACTCTAGTGGTGCTGCTAGGGAGAGGGAGAGGGAGGTGGAGGCAGAGGGAGAGGAGGAGGAGGAAGAGGAGGAAGAAGAGGAGGGTGTAGAGGGTATGGGGAGAGAGGAGGACGAGTGGGATGAGGGGGAAAGAAGAGGGCAGGAGGAGGATGGAAGGGGGCGAGGGAGGGATATGTGGGAGGAGGGAGAGAGTGAGGAGGAGGAGGAGGAGGAGGAGGAGGAGGAGGAGGAGGAGGAGGAGGAGGAGGAGGAGGAGGAGGAGGAGGAGGAGGATAATGAGGAGGAGGAGAGGGCAGAGGAGGATATGGATAGCAAAGGCGGAAGGGGCATGCCATGGGGAGCAGGTACTGGGCAAGGAGGAAGGGCAGGAGAGGAAGAGGAGGAGGAGGAGGAGGAGGAGGAGGAAGAAGAGGAGGAGGACGATATCAGTTTGGCAGAGGAGGAGGATGATGGTGATGGTAATGGTGACAGTGGGTTTGTACCCTTGGCTATGGCTATGCCCAGTATGGACCTCGAAGGCCTTCCGTCCGTGCATGGCCGAGAGGAGGACGAGGAAGAAGAGGGGCATAGCGGTGAGGGGAGTGAGGAGAACGAGGACCCGTTTCACAAACATCATTCCCAGTACCAGCAGTACCAGCAGCAGGAGCAGCAGCAGTACCAGGCACAGCAGCAGCAGCAGCAGCAGCAGCAGTACCAGCAGCAGCAGCAGCAGCAGCAGCAGCAGTACCAGCAGCAGCAGCAGCAGCACCCGATGTATCATGGCAAGCGTCCGTCAATGGTCCCCACGAATGCTGCTATGGCAGGGAGTGACGACAGTGGTGAGCAGAGCGGGGAGCAGAGCGAGGAGCAGAGCGAGGAGCATAGTGAGGAGCATTATGATGAGCAGAGGGATGAACAGCATGATGATGAGCAGTATGATGAGCGGAGCGGTGAACGGTATGATGAGCAGAGGGATGAGCGCAGTGGGATTAGCCAAGAGGAAGAGGGTCAACAAGACAAAGAGGGCGTTAGTGGGGATGATGAGGAGGAGGAGGAGGAGGAAGAAGAGGAGGAGAACAGTCGTGAGCAGTATGAGCGGGAGAGGAGGTACGGGCGAGAGGGGGAGGAGGGGAGCGAAGGGAGTGGGGACGAGAGACAACAGGACAGCCAGGCTTATGGGCAGAGTCAGGACTATGAGCAAAGTCAGGATTACACACAGAGCCAGAAGTACGAACAGAGTCAGGAATACACACAGAGCGGGGATTACAACCAGAGTGGGGAGGGGTTCAGTCACACTCACCACCAGCAGAACAGGCACAGGCACAGCGAAAGCCACAGCGAAAGCCACAGCCAAGCCAGTAGTGGTTCAGGAAGTGTTCCTTTAGCAAACCCCCCTGATTTCCCCTCTCCCTCCCATGCTGCACCAGCCGCCTTCCCTGACACGCCTATGTCTCTTGACTCGTCCTCGATCGCCCTCGCGTTACCGGCTGGTAACGGCATCTTGAACAGCGGCAACAGCAACAGCAGAGCAGTGCCTCCTTATCTTGCTCCCCTCCGCACCCACAACAGTGATAGCAGCGACGAATCACTAGACCTTGCTGCTGCTGCCGCTGCTGTTGCTGCTGCTGCTGCTGCGGGTGGTGCTGCTGGTGGTGTTACGGCAGTATCTGTGTTTCCAGGTGGCAAGCCGCCGTCGCGCCAAGCGTCCATGGTGGCATCTCAGCCCATCTCCAGACAGGTGTCCAATCAGGGGCCGCCACGTCAGCTGGGCAATGCTGCTGGTGCTGGTGGTGGTGGGTGGGGGGGGGTGAACGGTCATGGAGCGGTGGGGAGAGGCAAGGAGAGTGAGGAGGAGAGTGAGGAGGAGAGTGAGGATGTAGTGAGTGCTGCAACGTCGTCTGATGGTGAGGTGGTGACTGCAGCACCCATGGCAACTATGGAGTTAGTGGAAGGAGAAGAGGAGGAAGAAGACGAGGAAGAGGAGGACGAGGAAGAGGAGGAGGAGGAGGAGGAGGATGCTAGTGGCTCTGATATGGATTCGCAGCACAATTCAGAAGTGAGGGGAGGAGGGGGAGGAGGGCGGGGAGGTATGATGAGAGGAGTGGCGGTTCACCCTAGTTCTAAAGTGGCTGTACAGCCAATCAGAGAGGCGCAGTGGGAAGAGGAGGAGGAGGAAGAAGAGGAAGAAGAGGAGGAGGAGGAAGAGGAGGAAGAGGAGGAGAGGGGACACAGGAGAGGTAGAGGAAGTAGGGCGGCGAATCATGGGGGGAGTGTGGAGAGTGTGGAGAGTGGGGAGAGTGGGGAGGAGGGCTCAAGTGATGCAGAGCTTGCACCTGTTGCTTCTCTGGTGGAGGGCGGAAAGGGGAGCGGAAGGGGGAGCGGGAGGGGGAGCGGAAGGGAGAGTGGACGGGGGAGTGGGAGGGAGAGCGGAAGGGAGAGCGGGAGCAGGAACGGGAGCAGGAGCGGGAGCAGAAACGCGAGTGAGCATCCTGCTGGGTTTAGAGACGGATGGGGAGGGGATTCACTGGACGGAAGCATGGAAGGAGACGAAGAGGAAGAGGACGATGAGGAGGAGAGTGATGACGATCCGGCAAGGAGTGGGTATGAACCCCCCTTGGCTATGCCTGTTGCAGCAGCAGGAAGAGGAGGAGGAGGACACAAGAACACAAGGGGTAACCGCTGGGCTGGGGGTGGTGGTGGTGGCGGCGAGAGCAGCAGAGACGGCGACAGCAGCACAGCAGGAGGGGATTTTATGAGTGAAGCGGATTCGGAGTTTGGGGTCCCGATAGCCATGCCGCTGGATGCTGAGGAAAAGAGGAGGATTATTCGAGCCGCTTTACCTGTACATAGTGAGGATGATAGTGGTAGCGGGGAGGATCATGGGAGGCGGCACCGGAGGAGGGGTGGTGGTGGTGGTGGTGGTGGTGGTGGTGGTGGTGGTGGTGGTGGTGGTGGTGGTGGTGGTGGTGGTGGTGGTGGTGGTGGTGGTGGTGGTGGTGGTGGTGGTGGTGGTGGTGGTGGTGGTGGTGGTGGTGGTGGCGGCGGCGGCGGCGGCGGCGGCGGCGGCGGCGGTGGTGGCGGCGGCGGCGGTGAGGAGGAGGAGGATAGTGAGGAGAATGGTTACTCTGGGAGTGGCGACGAGGGGATTGCTACGGGTGAATTCACGAGCGAGTTTGCTCCGCCCATCGCCATGCCTCTTATGCACGGCACGGCTGTTCCTGTGGATGAGGATGAAGATGATAGCAATTTCAGCAGCCAAGAACTGGAGGAGGAGGAAGAGGAGGAGGAGGAAGAAGAGGAGGACGAGGGAGGAGGAGGAGGAGGAGGGAGAGGTGGTGGGAAAGGGAGGAGGAAGAACCGGAGCAGGGGCAGCAGCCGGCGCAACCAGGACTCTTTCAGCGATGCAAACAGTGAGCTAGGAGCACCGATAGCCATGCCGGTTGCCTCAGACTACGGGAGCAGTCAAGGGGACTGGGATCACGGCGACCTTTCCCGGAGGCCCAGCCAGAACAGCAGTGGCCCGCTTGCTACACGCCCGTCCTCCTCCTCCTCCCGCATTCCCGTCGGCGGCAGCAGGAAAACCGCCGGCCTGCCCCCGGCCGTGCCGCGACCGAAGGGCGCGGCCGGAGGAGGAGGAGGAGGAGCGAGCGGAGCAGGGGATGGGTTGAGAGCACAGAAAGCCATGGTGGATGCTCAGAACCCGTTCAGGGGAGGCGGAGGGCCTCCCTCTGTGGCTTCTTCTCAGGATTACACGGTGGTGCATGGGACTGGGAGGAGGGCTGTGGTGCCGCTGAGAGGGGCGGCTGGGTCCGGGAGGAGTGGGGGCGGGAGACTGTCGGAGGATGAAGGGTCGATGCATGGGGGGATGGCGTCGGCGCGACACACTGGGCCTGCTAGGTGCGTGGGTTTGTGTTTGGGTTTGGGCTTGGGTTTGGGGTTTCTGTGCTTTGAGAAGTGTGTGAAGATGGATGGTTCTTGCTGTTTGGTGTTTACTGTGTGCCTTCTGCTATATGGCTGCTTGCTTTTTGATTCGCTGCTTTTTGTCACCCCAACTCTCTCAGTATCTCTCTCATTCACCCTCGCTCTCACATACACTCATGCTTGCATGTCCACTCGTACACATATGGATGTCAGTCATACATAAAGCAAGCATGGGTATATGGATGCATGTGCAGTACCCACACACACACTCACGCACTCACTCTGATACACACACCTTCCTCACGTACCCACATTGCCACTTTCCCCCGATTTCTCCCTCGCCAGAACCTCCAGCCTCCAATCCGACGGCTCTCCTTCGCTCAACCACACCAACACGCAACGATCAAACCATTCATCCGGGCGGGGTGGCTCACGAGCAGACACAGTCGACAGAGAGGGAAAGAGCAGGAGAAGCGGGCGGGCCAGCAGCGGAGACAGCTGGGCAGAGCAGAAACGCGGGGGCAGCGGAAGAGGAGCCAAGAAGGAGGAGGAGGAGGAAGAGGAGGATCCTTCTGGGAAGGATCTGGAAGAACCAAACGAGAAGCTTTGGGAGGAGGACGGCGCGGGGTTGCGGCGGATTGAGATGGATGAGTCAAAGCGGCTTCGGAGTGCTGTGTCTTCTGGCTCATGCTTCCTGCAGTGCATGTTCAAACGACCAGCAACAAAGGACTGAGCTTTGAGGCATCTTGAAACTATGTTCGAATCGAAGCAGCTGAGGGGGGCTGTGTCTTCTGGCTCATGCTTCCTGCAGTGCATGTTCAAACGACCAGCAACAAAGGACTGAGCTTTGAGGCATCTTGAAACTATGTTCGAATCGAAGCAGCTGAGGGGGGCTGTGTCTTCTGGCTCATGCTTCCTGCAGTGCATGTTCAAACGACCAGCAACAAAGGACTGAGCTTTGAGGCATCTTGAAACTATGTTCGAATCGAAGCAGCTGAGGGGGGCTGTGTCTTCTGGCTCGTGCTTCCTACAGTGCACGTTCAAACGCCCAGCTACAGAGGATTGACAAGGGCAAAGAGGACATGTCACCATGTCGCCATGCTACCATGTCACCATGCCACCATGGCACCATACCCACAGGACGCGTGAGCAAAGCTCTGATCAGAGTTTTGCAGTGCACGTTCAAGCGATCAAGTATGCACGGACCAAGGCAGAGAGGTCCATGCACGGGCAGGCATGCAGGTTTGGCCAGTAACCGAGTCACCAGGGCCAACACTCGAGCATGTACGGTATTTCCAACCAGATTCCTCCACTGTAGTGTATGTTATTGGTGTTTACAGAACGCATAGCAGCCACAAGGAAATAAGCGGTGTGGTTAAGAACATATTTGCGTGTAAATATTAGTGGTAGCCGTTGTATCTATGGTTCACAATGAGGTCTGTGCTTCATTGTGGAACAAGGAGAGTGCAAACATGAACCCTGGGCCTGGATCCAGAAAGATGGAAAATGGTAAAAGGTACTGATCTTGAGGTTGTATGCCGTTCCAGACTAGGAAACGTAGAGAACAAAACAAGATTGTTACGAGTGCAATTGAGTGAACGAGCGAGAATTGCACTATCGAAGCAAGAGTACAATGAGCGAAGGCATGAGCGAAGAATATATAGCGAAACTACAGTGGTAACGGTAAAGTGGGAAATTGAGGTGCGCTACGGGCCTAGCGCCGAGGTTTGGAGAATTGTCGAGGCGGAGGTCCGGAGCGCGGGTTACCAACCGAACCGTTAGGTTGGGTCGCGTCGTGAACAGTGGCGGGAGTCGTGGTCGAGGCGAGTGTCGTGAACGGGTAACGTGCATGGATGGGTGCTGATGGCGGGAACGGTTATGTACGCGGTAAGCAGGGACGCGAAGTAAGGAAAAGGAATTTTCCTTACACTACCCCCCTCCCCAAGGAGGCCCCTCTTACGAGAGCGCGTGTACATCTCGGAAGTTTCGGCTGCGCAGATACTCCGTGAGGACAGGGTGATTCTCAATTCTATCCAATGGGACCCAGTTGTCTTCGGTGGGCGTGCGGTCTTTCCAGCGGATCAGGAATTCGATTCTGCGGGCTCCCCATGGGTCACGTACTCGATGGCTCAGTATTTTCTCAGGCGTGATGATTGGCTCAGTCGGCGGTCGTGTCATGCTGGCGGGGCGGTTGCGTGGCAGTTGGCTGGTGGATGGCACGTATGGGCGAAGCAGGCTGACGTGGAATGACGGGCTGACGTACTAGTCAGCAGGGAGGAGGAGATGGGCGGTGACGGGTGTGATCATGTGGCTGATGCGAAATGGCCCGCAATATCGGGGGCGGAGTTTTGGGGTGATGGGCAGGCGGAGGTTTTGAGTGTCGAGTAGAACTAGGTCGTCTGGCTGGTAAGTGACAGGTCGGCGGTGGCGGTCAGCGTTGCGTTTAGCGATGATGTTTGATTTTTTTATTGCTTCGGCTGCTCGGGTCCGTGCTGCTTGCAGTATTTCTGCGAACTGTTGCGCGCGTGGGACTGGGTTGTCGGGATTCGGGGTCATGGGTACTGTGGGGTCTTGTCCGTAGTTCAGGTAAAACGGTGACTGTTGGGTCGTGGCGGATGGCGAGTTGTTGTATGCGAATTCGATGAGTGGCAGTTGCTGTTCCCACGTGGTCGGGTCGTCGCACGTGGCCCGGATGAGCTGTTCTATGGTCTGATTTGTCCGTTCTGTCTGTCCGTCGGTTTCGGGGTGGTATGATGAACTGAACTGTAGTCGCGTGCCGAACTGCTGCCACAGGTTCCGCCAGAAGTTGCTGGTGAATTTCGTGTCGCGGTCGCTGATGATCGCTGCTGGTATCCCGTGTAATCGAACGATGGTGGCGATGAAGAGGCGAGCTGTTTCTTCGGCTGTGATTGATTTCTTGCATGCTGCGAAGTGTGCCATTTTCGTCAGCCGATCGACGACGACCAAGATCGCGTCGTTCCCACTTGCTCCAGCTGGTAACCCCGTGACGAAGTCCATCGTCACCTGCTGCCAAGCACGCTCTGGGGGTGGTATCGGCTGCAACTGTCCTGCCGGTCGTTGTCGTGACGACTTCATGAGCTGGCAGGTGGGACACGATGCCACGTGTCGTTGCACGTCGGTCAGCATCTCGGGCCAATAGTAATACCGCTGCAGCTGCTGCCGTGTTTTCTCTACCCCGAAATGTCCCGAGGTAACTCCGTCGTGTGCCTCCTGTAACAGTAATTCCCGTAGCAGTGTGTACCCTGGTACGCAGATGCGGTCGGTCCCGGCTTTTACGTAATAGACTCCCTTGGCTGCTGCGAACTGCTGCGAATTTCCTCCTGTGAAGAATGGGTCCGTTTGGTACCCGTGGGTAAATAGTCCTGTCAGTAGCGGGCTGGTCTGGGCGAGTAGTATCGCGTGGATTTGGGCAGTGGGGCGGGTCAGTGCGTCAGCGATGTTGGATGCTCCCTTTTTGTAGGTGACCGTGTAGTGGAAGTTTGACTCGAGGAAATCGAGCCAGCGGATCTGTCGTGGGTTGAGGTGGGGCTGTGCGCGGAGGTACTGTAGGGATCGGTGGTCTGTCCGTACTGTCACGTCTGCGCCGGTCAAGTAACAGCGCCAGATCTTGAACGCATGCACGATTGCGAGCATTTCGCGGTCGTGTATCGGATAATTTTTCTCGGGCGGATGCAGCTTTCGTGACTCGTAGGCGATGGGCTGTAGGCCGTTGCCGCAATCCTGTAGCAGTACGGCTCCAATGGCGATGTCGCTTGCGTCGGTTACGACTTCGAAGGGGCGGTGTGGGTCAGCGATGCGCAGTACGGGCGGTGAACAGAGAACAGTTTTCAGGGCAGAGAAGGCAGCATGCTCTTTCTCCCCCCACGTAAAAGGGACCCCCTTCCGCAGCAGATCCGTCAGTGGGGCTGTTAATTGCGCCATGTCGGGGACGAACCGACGCACGTAATTAACGAACCCTAAAAAACTCTGCAGCTCCGTGATATTTGTCGGGGGGTGCCACGCTTTGACCGTGTCCAGCTTCTTTGGGTCGATTTCAACCCCAGCCTCCGAAATAACGTGTCCTAAAAATTCTAACATGTCCTGAAAAAACTCGCACTTGGAACCCTTGGTCAGTAGTCTGTGCTCGTCTAAAACTTTAAACACTGCTTCCAGATCTGCTAAATGCTGCTGCTTATCACGACTGTGGACTAGGATGTCGTCGAGGTAAACTATCACGCATTTATCTAAAAGTGGCCTAAACGCCTCGTTCATGGTCATCTGAAATGTTGCCGGTGCGTTGGTCAACCCGAATGGCATCACGGTGTACTCGAATGACCCGTACCTAGTCCTAAATGCTGTCTTGGCGTAGTCTGATGGTTCGACCCGAATCTGATGGTAACCTCCCAGTAAATCTATTTTTGAAAAAACCCGTGCTGTTCGCAGCTGGTCGATCAGTTCGTCCGCGCGGGGAATGGGGTATCGCGACTTGACTGTTACCCGGTTCAGTGCTCTGTAATCGATGCACATACGAAACCCTCCGTCTTTTTTCGGTGTGAACAGTATCGGTGCAGCGAACGGTGACGAGCTCGGTCGGATGAATTTTTTCTCTAACAGGTAGTCTAACTGCTTCCTTAGCTCATCGAGCTCGGGCTGTGTCAGTCTGAACTGTCGCTGTACGGTTGGCTGTGCCCCGGGTTCTAACTATATGCGGTGGTCGTGTGCTCGCTGAGGTGGCAGTCCCTCCGGTAAGTCGTCGGGAAAAATCCCCGGGTACCGTTTCAATAGCTCCTGCAGTTCGGGCGGTACCGCTGTCAGCAGTTTCTGAAAATCACTCGGCTGCTCTGCTTCTCCTATCAATGCTATATCCACTGCGTACACGTCAGCTCCAGCGGCGACAGCCCGTTTCATCGTGATGGCGTTGACGTGGACCGTTGAAGACTCGGGCGACTGCCAGCGTGGTAGCGACACCCAGTTACCGCTACTTCGCACAGTGCAGCTACCCGTCGTCCAGTCAATTCGCGGGTTATACCGTCGCAACCAATCACGTCCCAGTAAAATGTCGTGCCCATCCAGTGTCGTCGCGAGCATTTCCTGTGTAAAACCGAAGTTCCCCCCGCAGCGGACCTTTACTCTCTCCACTTTTTCCCGTATGGCCAGTGGTGTGCCGTCAACTAAGCGTGCGTCTATCTCCGGTAAACACCGACTCAGTGTCAGTTGTAGTTTTCGTGCGGTCGCGGTATTAACTAAGCTGTGACTTGCGCCTCCGTCGATAAAAATCTTCACTGCTGCTCCCTGTATTTTTCCGTCAATCAGTACTGGGCAATCCGTCGCTGTACCCTCCTTATTCATCCGAGCCCGATCGATAGCGTGAATCGGTACTGTGACTCGGTGAGGGTCGGTGTGGTTGGGCGAGCAGGCAGTCTCGTCAGTAGTTGGCCCGATTCCTACTGACTGCTGGCGTTTCCCTGCCTTAGAGACTCCCTCCCCTGCTCTGCTCCGCGGCGCCTCAGCTCCTCTGGGCACTCACTCTTACGATGGCCCGGCCTATTGCAAGCGAAGCAGCGCCCCTTAAACGGCGCGGCAGCTGCGTTCGTCGCAACAGCGTGTACAGAGGCGTGCTCGATTGGTCCCCGAGGGCGATGTCCGTAGTAGGACCCCGGTCTCGGACGGCGTAAAATGTCGATTTTCTCGGCGAGCGCGAGAAT